CCTAAAGTCTATAAAAAGCAGTATTTCCTCCTAGTAAACCACACTGTGGGCCCTGAGATAGTGACCACAGGGCAGGCTGGTCCTGTTGCAGATGTGGCCACCAGCTGTGGCCACTGCAGACCATCGTGGCTCGGTGGCTCCATACCTGGCACCATGGGAGACCTGGCCAGCTGGAGACCACTGGGAGTTGGGAATTGCAACAGGGAAAGACTCCTAGGGGGAGAAGTCTCATGCTGTCCCTCCTCATGGAACTGGCATGATAGCCTTCCAGCGTGGGGGGTGGTTGGACTTTCAAACCTGGCCCAGATGCTCCAGGTGCTCCTGGTCCGGAAGGGATGCCCAGGTATGGCTGGTGACACACAGGGCTGTGGCTGCAGCAGGCTCCACGGGACGGGCTGCTTCATCAAATGCTGCAAATCTCATTTTCCAGAGCACCAGAAACACTCATTTGGCCAACTGGGCAGAGTAGAGCAGCTGTGGGCATCTTTCCTAACCCACGAGGGCCCCGTGGATGTCCCCTGCCTTGGTGACACAGGATGTTTGTGGGATTTGGAGCTGTCCACGGGAGGGGATTCAGCTGGTACTATGGCATCAGCTTGCCCTGGTCCCTGTCATGCTTCGTGCCAGTGGTGCACTGAAGCGGAGATGGGTGCCTTGGGCTCACCACCATCTGATGGGGAGGCTGCAGCTGGCTGCGTGGGCACCGTGGGCTACCACCCACCTTGTGCAGGATTTTTTGGTGTTTCCCAGTCCATATGTACAAAGCTTATCTGGTTGCTTAAAAAAAAAAACCAATTCCCCAAATCTTTAAGCAAATTTTTTAATTGTCTTTGGTTTTAACTCTCTTGCCAGGATGCCACTTGGCATGTCACTCTGGCTCTGGCCTCTGCTCCCTGTCCCCAGGGAGGTGGCATGTGAACACTCTCTCTCTCTCTCTCTCTCTCTCTCTCTCTCTCTCTCTCTCTCTCTCTCTCTCTCATTTTAACTGCTGACTTTTGGTGTTAAAAAGTACATTGTTACCAGGCAGACCATCTGCAAAAGTGTCCTCACAGCTGGTGGCACAGCAAAAGCTGCCTGGGTGGCAGCCTTGAACAAGGAGAGCATTGGAGGGCTGGGGGTGTGTGTCCCTAATTCAAAACCCAAAGCAGGTCTCCCACTGGGCTGGGACAGTGCTGGGAGGGGGCTGGGAGAACCTATAGTTTGGATCAGAGGAGGGTATGTGGGACCAAGGTTGCTGGGAGCAGCCGAACCACCTCCCTCCCCCAGTGTAGCCCCGCCTTGGGTGAAGCAAGGAGGCAAAAGAGGTTGGAGGATGAGAAGATTATTTATTTTTCATAGATTTTTATAAAAAATAATTATCAAATACAAAAAAATAAAAATAGCAGCAGCCTCCGTTGTGAATAAAACCCTAAAGGGGACAAAAACCGCTCAGTGTTGCTGTAGAAGAACAATATTTCGGTACATAGAAGCTATCTGTTCATGAGAAGTACAAATCTCTGTCAGCCAAGCCAGCACCTCCGGCCCCCCCTGGTTCCCCTATCCATAGGGCACGGCCCTTTCCCTGCACACACTGGTGAGCAGGGACGAGCCATTTCTGTGACCACGATTTTCATGCCAAAAAGGTAAAAATTTGGCATCTAAACACATAGGCATCTAGATAATGCTGACGCCAGGCAGGGAACGGTTTTGCATCGCAAGATGCCGGGACTTGAAATTCTCCCATCTCCCTCTGCATGTCACCCTCATCCCACATCCCCACCACCCCCACTGGCTGGGGGCTGCCATCCCCCTGGCTCCTGCTATGCCAAGACGCCTGAATGTCCCCTTTCCTGCACTGGTGGAGCAGGACAGGCTGCCCAAGTTGCACCTTCTGGGGGTCATCAGGGCCAGAAGAGTCTCAAAGTGCTTTTTTAAATATTTCCTTGTTTTTTGGTTTTTTTTTTTTGATTGAAAAATGGATCGCTGTCAAAAAATTGCAGCACTCTGCCAAACTGACAGTGCATTTGGGTGAAAACCCTGGGTGTTGTCACCTGTGCATGATGGGAACGGAAATGTCAGTGTGTCCCTGCTGCAAGAGGAGAAGGGGTCCATCGTCCCATCCCTGCCTAGGCCAGGGCAGGCAGGAGGTGACCCACCATGGGGTGATGGGCACACTTGGGATCGGGAAAGGGCTTGGAGAAGGACAAGGCATCTCCTGCATGGACTCTGGTGGGATATCCAGGTGCCTCTGCCCCTACTCCTGTCCTCTGGCCAAACATAACTTTAGGAGATGCCTGACAAAAAGGGCGGGAGGGGAGCTAGCGAAAGCCAAAGGATGCCTTGAAAATCCCCGGTCTCTCCACACTGTGTCACCCTCTCTCCATCACTCTTGCGCTGGAGAAACCCTGGCTTGGAGTCTGGCTCTGCCAGCACAGGCCATGTGGCGAGGACACAGCCAGGCAGCCCTGGGTTTCTTGGTCCCAGCACAGGGCTGCACCAGGGCACACCGGGGTGTCCATGCTCCTCCTCTGGGGTCCCTCTCTGCTCTCCTCTTTCTATCCCTTTTCTCTACCTCTTTGCAAGCACAAAACTATCAGCGATAACCCCCGCTGAAGCCAGGCACCTTCCCTACCCGCTGCCTGGGAGTAGGTCCAGGCTGCCAAGTTGAATTTCTGGGAATCAACTATGGGGGGCAAAGTTTCTAGCTGGCCTTCTTTGGGGCTAGAAGTGAATCTGAAGATTTTCACTTAGTGCCTACAGGAGCAAGAGACTCATGAAAGTCAGCAACTGTATGTCCACTGTGATGGGCTCGGCCACAGAGATAGTAATAAGGAATAGCTCAATGGGAAAAGATGATGCTCAAAGTCTCCTGACAGGTTGTTTGGGTCCTGTCTCTCTTTGCTTTACAGGGTGTGGTTTCCTCCAAGAACTGCTGACAACACTGCCGAAGCTCATGTTTGGAAAGGAGACATGGGGAAAGAAAAGAAGGACCGCCTCATCATCCTTCATTCAGAGCATCACACAGCTACTCTGGGTTGCCCACTATATCTCTCGTCTAGTTGGGTGCGCAGTGGCCAGGGGGAGCGAGGCAGAGAGGGACCATTGCGTGTCTTTGCTCCTACTGACCATGCAGCAATACTCATGGACACGTAACCCTTCCCAGAGGGCTCTGAAATAACGGGTGACAGGCAGCTGTGGTGCCCTTCGGGGCAGCAGTGCTCACCGAATCTGCCATGCTTGCCGGGGTGATGCAAGGGCACAGCAGCATTTCTTCTCAACCTCAAAATCCTGACCCAGGACCCTAAGCAAAGCAAGGCAAAGCACTGGCAAATCCCAAGGGCAAAACTTGGTGCCTGCAAGATGCCAAGAGCACCTTGAGGTTGCAACCTCCATGCCACCTGCCTGGGGAGCTCTCTCCTGGCATGGCCTGGGTGTTTGGCTTCTCTCTCTGTCCTCCTTCCAGCTCCCCCTCAGGAAGGAAGAGGAAATTCCCTGCTCCTCCCCGCCCCAACCTGTGCTTTTCCCAATGGTTTGTACTTCACAGCAGCTTGGGTATGTGACAAAGGATATCCTTTCTCAGCTTCATCAAGAGCAAAGAAAATATAATATATATTTATATATATTATATATATGTGTATATATATATATAATTAAGTTTAAATATTTGCAGAGAGATCACAACTACCTCAACCTTGCTAAAAGAAGCCTGTACAGCAGAGGGGGGTGAATAGTGACAAAATCCAGAGCAAAGACAGACACCCAGACACCAGACCAGGACAAATGTCCGTGGCAGTGCCTGGGCTCTTGGTGTGGAGCACAGCCCAGCGCATGGCCGAGGCGGTGCCGGACCCCTGGCTCAGACCCTCGGGCGTGCACTGGGCCCCCATGTCCCGGCTGGGTTCGGGAGGGAGCAGCGATGGGGAGGGGACTGCCACACGCCTGCCCTCCTGCGCTGCAGCCCGCTGGCTGCTCCGTGGCCTCGACCCATCCCCTCCATGCGTAGTCACCATATCCCTGCCTGGCTCTTCCTTACGCCTCCTGCCCACTTGCACCCCGCCGCTCCCCAGCGGCCCCTGTTGCTGCCCCTTCACTCCTCCGGCGCTCGCCTGACCAAGAGAGGCCCTTCATGGTGCCGCTACTGGTTCTCCTCAGCCGCCGGGTCACGGCATGTGCATTCGTCCTGGTCACAGTCAGCAGCAAACGGGATCACCTCGGGGGACCAAAGGGAGATGTAAGCCTCTGCTTTGAGATCCCTGGCTCCTGGCACCCCTATGCCCCTGCAAGCCCTCTCCACCCCAGTGCAGTCAGACAGACACTTTGGGCTGTGCCCTGATGTTGTTGGCACTGTGGAGACTGCCAGGCTCCACGCTCACTGAGAAATGGGCTCTGATACAACTGTCCCCAGCTGAGTTTTATTCTTAGCGTTTTCCTTTTTGTTAACTTGTGTTTCAAATTTTGCAGCCAAGGGTCAGCTTGAGTCTTGTGCCCCAAATGTCAAACCTTGGGGAGAAGTCTCCCCTGGTGGGTGTGAGACATTTGGACTAGGGTTGGCAGTGGTGAGGCACCTCTAGATTTCAGTTTTACTTTGGCCCCTGTTAGAAAGCCCTCCTTGTCCATGTCTGAGTCTATGGACCTGTCCTTCAAGTTACTCCTGGCTCTTTCAGGCTCAGCAAAGCATGAAGGTAGCATGGCATCATCTTCTGCACCTCTTGGAGAAATTCAGCCAACCTCCCAGCTGCAAAGGCTGGCCTCCACACTACCTGACGTAGGAGCCAGGGTAGATGCATACAGTTCTTGTGCACTATGGAGTAAAAAAACCCAGGCAGGCTGGAGGCTACGTGAGCAGTAACAGCCTTCAGTGGAGCAGGCAGTGGGTCTGTCTAGGGCCACCCACAAGCTGTGCTGCTTTGAGACATCCCATGCAGGTAGAGAGGCTCATTGCACATTGCTTTCTCTACAACAACTGTATATGGCCAAGCAAGCTTCTGTCACCTTAGCTGGTGGCAGCAGAGCAAGGTGGGAGGGCACCAGCAGAGCATCTGGCTCCTGGTTGACAGCTGCCCAGTCATGGGCCATAGGAGCTGAGAAAACTGTTTCCTCCAGAGGTTTTATACACACCAGGCTCAGAGCCAGGAGTTTTTCTTACTGTGGAAGCACATTTGATTCTTCACAGCCTGGGCCAGTGAGAGGCCGGAGTGGCTTTTTGGTGTTTAAACCTCATATTCCTGCCTCTGCCTTAACAGAGATGTGCTGGAGGCTTGTGCTGCAGGAGATCTGGGACCTGTGGGGGATGCGAGTTGGGGCTGGGTCTCCTGAGGGCCATGGGACTGAATCACCCCACCTTTCACTGTGAACCCATCCTTTATTTTGGCCAGAGATCCAGATGTCTCAGACCTCCTGAGAGCCATGCCTTCCTCCAAGATGTCATGATATCGCTGTGGAGGTTTCAATCATCACTTGGGTGTAAAGCCTTTTCTCTCCTATCTCAACTGGATCTTCCCAGGATTTTATTTTTCCTTTTCTCTGTGTGTGTATGCGTGATGAAAGGAAAAATGATTCAAGCTCCACAACAAAGATGAGAAGATTCAAATTCACATATTTTTGCAGTGAGAAATTATCTCATGCCCTATGATTTGTTTTGCTGTTGGATATGCTTAGGAAGGATGGGCTGTGAGTGCTGGATAGCAAGTTAGGTGGGAGGGGAGGTTGTGATGGGAGACAAAAAAGGGTCTGTGCAACCCCAGTGCCAAGTTGCTCCCTCTACACTACTCCTACCTCCTTCCGTCCCCAGGAGGATTGGGAAGGAAAGACAGCCCATAGCAGATGCCAATGGACCATACCAAAAATCCCCTGAGATTGCTCAATTATATGACAAGGTGACTTTTGACTCACCATGGCTAGCACTACATCCTATGGAAGTAATTTTGGGACTCGTTTCCCAAAACGAGAGGGAATCCCGTGAATCTCAGTGGGAGCTGGGCTGAGCTTTCAGTCCTGCTGGCCTGAGTCCAAACCCCGCTGTTAATCAGTGGGATGATGTCTATGACTTCAGCTGGCTTTGGTTTAAAATCATGGGTTTGTTCTCCGTTCGTGGGAGAATAGCATTGCAGGCTCGGTTCCATGGCCAGCAAAGCCAAAGAGCATGGCTAGCAGTAACCACTTAATCCTAAATCCTGGCCAGCACCACAGAAGATGCTCACTTACCTTCCTGGAGGACAGTGTGGAGGAGCAGCAGTCACCCCCATCATACTGGCAGTATGCCCGGTTGTTGATGGTGTCGCACCAGCCGTCTGCTTGGAAAGGCTAGGCAGAGAAACAAGTCTTTGTTGAAACGGTTATTCAAAAGCAGAGATCCCAGGTCCTCAGCAAGGCCCCTGTGCACCTCCAGTAAGGGCCAAGGCCCAGTTCCACCATACACAACCCCCTCTTCAAAGCCAAAGGGCACCAGAAGACTGGTTTCCCGGCTGGTGTGTATGGAGTAGTAGGTGCTTGGAGGGCAGCAGATGTAGCTCGAGGATCAGGGAATTGTGTCAGGGAGCGAGAAAACAAATCCACATCACTAGAGAGGGCCCCAACCTGAATGCCACAAGTCCCCATTCCCATCTCACTCAGTGCTTCTCCACGGTGTCCATTGCCACCCAACCAGGGGTCAGTTCACCACCTCATCTGCTCGTCCACCTTCTCACACCACTCTCACGTGTCTCCATTGTAATCCAGCTCTCTGCATGTTCACAGCTGGGGCAGGGCTCTGTAAGAAGCTGACCCAACTCTTCTCTTCAACACCCCTCCTCCCAAAGAGCTTGGCTCTGAAGTTGAGCTTGGTGACCTGGCTTGGGCAGCTAAGTACAGAGAGGCTGTTACAAGGATCAATAGAGCATCCTGCTAGAGGATCAATCTCAGAAAGGCAGGTGCTTTATCTCCCTTGGACTACAAGAAAGGTTCAGCAAGGTCAGGAGTCTCCCAGAAGTACTTGCACTCAAGCCAAGCCACGCATTGGCAAGCACTCGTTGCAAGGACTATGCCTTTTCAAGAATGCTCTTGCTCTGGCTCTGACCCTGAGGAACATGCCCCCAAATTCCACCAGACTTTCCACTGGAGGCTCTAGCACATGGCTCCACCAAACCTTGCCAGGTTGGACTACAAGGCTACTTATCTGGTGGCCAGCTGGGACAAACAGAAGGGATCTTCATTAAGCACTAGCTCCCTGTAGGCAAAACCCAATTCTGGATTGAGCAGAGAGGGCAGCAGCCTACTGATGACCAGAAATATTGGCAACATGGCCACCTTCCAATTTCAGTCTTGGCCATCTTCCTCCTCATTTCTCTTCTTTGTGGCCCAAATCTCACACTCTGTAAGGAAATTGTATGGTTGAATGGTGGGGGATTTTGCATTGCCAAAATAATGGTGGCTCATCTCTGCAAGGCACAGCCCAGTACCCTTTGCTGCGCAGTCGGGTCTGTCTGGACAATTGCGGATTTGCAGAGCCCAGATTGCCTTGCTGCAGCTCAGATAAATGCTCCGTCATTAACAAGCCTTCTTTACTTTCAGCTCTAACATGGAAACAGAAAGCTATCGTAGCAGAATAGCTTTCTGACCAGAAATGTCAAATGGCACAAGCAGCCATTCAGAAATCCATTTTATTGTTATTTAGTTACATGAGTCATCTGATCAGAGAAGAGAAACAAGCAACTGGGGCTGAGAAGAAGCCAACTAGGGCTGAGAAACAATGCTGTGTGACTGGTGCAACCAAACAACATGCATGTGAAGCACTTGCAATGAACTGTCAGAAACGATCTGCAGCCGAGGTTTATTTATCACAGATATACATCAGCACTGCCAAGCAACGACTGAATGTGCTAACAGAACGGAGAGGCCATTCATTAACCAAGTGATTAGTAATGAAATGCTCTCCCACTCCAGGCTCTGTGATGGTAGCTACTGGCCCAGCAACCATGGCCAACCTCCAGGAGGACTGCTGTCATCAGAAAGGGCTCTTGGTGGAAACCTGGCCACCCCTTGGCTCATGGAAGGAGCCAACCTGTTTCACTAGATCTGGTGGCCCTAAATGGCAACTGGGCTTCAGAAAATACCCGGACCCAGCCTTTGACAGACACTCGCCCATAGCACCCCTAAACCGAACGACAGCCAGCTGAAAAACGTCACCGCATCGCGATAGCCCTGCATCCACTGCGCCAAAGCCAACACGCGGGACTGGTGATAATGCCAAAAATTCACACAAAAAAGCCGTGCCAAAACCAGGGAACCAATGTGGCTTTTTGTCATCATGATTCATAAGGAACAGAAATGGGCTCAACACAGGCTAATGTCACTTAAGAAAGTAGCAGCAGGGATTATGGCAAACCACCGAGTCTGTCTGTGCTATCAGTACCACAGTCCCCAGGCCAAACCCAGGCACTCACAGAGAGATTGCATCTGCCTGGAGGATCTCGCCAGAGAAGAAGAAAGAGTGCACCTTCCTACAGCTGGGAAATTGAGGCACAGACTAGTTAGGTAGCTCACTCAAAAACAAGAAGGGATTTGGCTCCCATCATTGCTGTCACAAACCACGTCCAGAGGAGACCAGGGTGCAGTTTCACCAAGGCAATAGGGTTAACACCCCTCTTCCATTGAAAAGCATCAGTGGCTCTTAAATGATGGTAATCAAAGGTCTCTGAGCCACGAAGCAGCTTTGAGCACCAGGAGGGCCAGGGCAGGGATGCTGGGGCTGGCCGGTGCAGGGATGCAGGCAGGGGACCGGCCAGGGCCGCTGGCAGGGAAGAGCTCTTCTGGGTGTGATTTGCTTTTGCAGCCTTCCACACGGTGGAGTTTTGCTTTGAGCTTTGCTCCATATGTCATGACTCACTGACAAAACAACACCCGCCGCTTCGGTAGTTTCCATAGAATTATGGGGGGGCTTGCCCATCCGACTGCACAGGTCTGAAACGGTTTCAAGATCTTGTGTGCAAGGTGGCAGGAGGACAGAGACAGGGACAAGACAGGGAAGGAGAGGCTCTCAGTTTCTCTCTACACCTGTTAGGGCCAATTGCCCCCTCCTCTCAACCCGCCAGAGCCTGTACCCCACCCTAAACAAATACAGACTTCTATGGCAACACTTGTTGGGGAAACTTAACAACTCATGCTCCAAATTACATTGGAAAAACATATGAGGGGAAAGTAAAAAATGACTAATGGGACTTGAGGCTCAACAGAGCCAGGTGCAGGGTTCGGGGACTGCTGTCCCTGCTCCTTGCCCAGCGCCTGGAGAACACAGTGAATCCCGTTGCTTTGCCTTGTCAAGGATTCCCAGCTGGTTTCATCTTTGCAAGCAGAAGGAGCAAAGGAAGGTGCTGGTGGGTCACCCTTGAGGGCACAGGCGCCCTCGTACTTGCATTGGTCTCATTTTGGTCTTGCAAGAGTCACGGCAAGGAAGGACACCGGCAATGCAATGTATTAAGAGCAGTTGATGTGGGAAAGGAAAACCCATACAGACTCTGTTCAGCCTGTGCTTGAGCCGTGTGGCTCTACAGAATGGAATGCCAACGGTGGGAGAAGGGAGGTTTGTCCGTGTTGGTGACTTGTAGAAACACCCAATGATGTTTTAAGATGCTGCCAGGAAAAAAAACCCACACCAATGGCCAACCGTGCCATGTGAAGGCAATGGGTGTGATCCAGCAAAATGGCGAGCTCAGTTTCATTCACCAGAATATGCATTCTCCAGCATGGGGGCAAAAAGGGCCAGTTCAATTGGCTCAGATAAACTGGGAAAAAATGAATAAGGTAATTGCTGCAACCGCTCTGTGCTGCATTAAGTGATAGGGAGCTGCTCGGCTAGGCAGCATGCCACCAAGGCAGCTAGCAAGCTGGGCTGTGTCAGCGAATCTCCCCGCTCAAGCCATCCGTCTTCCTTGTTTATTCAGACAGGAGCTTCAGCGGGGCATGTGTTAGCACGTGGAGGTGCAGCATCTGGCACCGCTGGGCCAGAGGCCTGCGCTGCTGGCATAAAAATAGTAACTGCGAATCCAGTGCTTGGCAATTTAAATAGGCTACAAAAACACATGCTCTCAAAGCCGGGAATAGGCACGAATGAAAAGAGAAAAAATTAAGTTAAAAAAAAAAAAAAAGAGGGAAAAACATTGCAGGCAAAGGAGGGTTGTGAGGAAGGACTGGTTAGATCCCACCCCATCCTGGGCAGAAGCACCTCAGAGGGCTCAGCGGTGCTGTTTCTCTTAAGGCTGCCAGGAGGTGCCGTGCAAGGAGCAGCACCTGCGCATGGCATTTTTCCACCATCCCTGCAGAGTCCTTGGGGCCAGGGCCAAGCTGGCTGACTCCCTCCTGGGAGCCGGTGTCCTGCCCGGCGGCAAGCCCCCAGTGCCATCCAGGAGGCGGGCAGGGTCCAGACACTTTTTTTGAAATCCACCTTATATGTAGGTTGCTTCACTGTGAAAGACCATAAAAGGGTGCAAAAGAGTGAGGGAAAGACAGAGCACGAAGAATAAATCACAGATGCCATCAGTATTGTACATATTTTGCTGCTGTGTTATGGGTGCTTGATGAACATTATTTTCCAGGAATGCAGGTTTTGCTCTGGTCGAGCAGACCTGAAGGCCCAGTACCTTGCTTTTGGCAATGACCCATTCCAGGTGCTTTGGAGGAAGGTGGAAAAAATGAAAAAAAATATTCAGCGTGCACCTGGCCAATTGTGTAACCGAAGAGCTGAAAGGCCCTCCTGCGCTGCCACTAGGATGGAAAGTGCTTGCGATTTCAATCTGCCCATAGCTAAAGAAAGCCCAGATCCTAGTTTCAGGGGATTAAGTCAAGCCTTAATAAGCAAAAGGTTTCCCCCTAGTCTTCAGGAGGCTGTGCAGGTCCTGGGCTTTGCAACTGTGCTGACGCCATCCAAAGAGGGTTTGCTTTCATGCCGCTTCTAAGTCAGCACAGATTTTGCTATCCTTTCGTCTTTCCCTTTGGGCATCGACCTCGGACCCTTTGCATGTTGAGATGACCTCGTGTGACCCTGCAGCTGAGGAAATGCAGGTGTCTTCGTCCTTCTCAGCTGTCACTCTCAAAGCAGCCCCAGGGGAACAGGGGAACCATCATTTCAGCAGGGGAGACAGGCAGGGACCAGCCCTGGAAAAGCTGCCGTGCTTTCAGACCCATGCCTCGTGCATTAGCTTCACCACTGTTAACTCTGCTCTTGCGATGGATGAGTCATTAGTGATGAAAAGGTCAGTTGGAGGAGACAGAAGGGAGACGGCATGGCAGGGAGACAGGGACAGGACTGGGTGATAAACTTCTGCTGGAAA